GCAATATTAATATTCACAGCAAATTTAACAAGGATTTGAATACCTACTATGTACTGTCCTAGTTATTATACCCCCATACTAAGATGTACCCAGTGTAAATCCTTAAGATTTCATACATTAGAAATGGATTTACATGAGTCTGAACAAAGCATTAGTCATTTAACTTCATACTGTATTTAGACATTTCTCTCAAGTAAAAAGCATCCTAGCAGGTGAATGAAAAATGCTAACTGCAATGGAATGCTTGAAATAACAAGTAGGGTCTTGAAATAAAACTTTTAAGTTCTAAACAAAAATCACAAGTTAAACAGGTGGCTTCTGAGGTCCTCCTCAGTGAACATCTAAACAAATTATGCTAACAGTAAACAATGCTAGCTGAATACAGGTTTCTGAATACTTCTATTACTGTTATTAATATACAGTAAATTTTTTTATTAAGTTAATGAAAGGAAGAATTAGTATTTCACATTCCAGAGTTCAGAACTTAAAGGATCTGGGAGATATTTACTATTTACTTCTTAAATGGCTCCATTCTCATTTTTAAAGATATCAACCAGCAGTCTGACTACTGGAAAACAAATAAGTAGTTTGAAAGAAAGATGAAAAGTGGTGGCCAATTTAATTATTCATCATTAACGAAGAAAACACCAAAGTTTTGGAAGAGCACTTTACAAAACCTAGTGCCTATCTCAAGTGTGATGAAGCATCAAGCACCGGTATATGGACCCGATAAACCTACAGATGAAAGTAAACAAGGGCAAGTTCATGAAACCCCTTCAGGAAACTATAGTAGACTGGAAAGATATCACAGAACGGTATGGCGAAAGGCTTCTTGTTTGTTAAGACAACGCACAAGTAACTAGATATAGAAGGGAAATGTAATTATCAGCTGAAAGCAAGCTATGGACCCAAATCATATTCCAGAAATCCCTTTCCTCCTATGTTGTTTCCAAACAAGAGGATCATTTGTACTTCTTGAGGCCAAGCTGATTAGCAAAAGCAGAATCTTAACATACAGGAAACTTTTCATCACATATTCATCAAGGTCAATTATTTCAGTTAAGAACTGTACCACTTGTGTGAAATAATAGACTGTTAAAATAGACACAAAGGTCTAATATAAAAGCTGTTAACAACTACTTTCCAGTCTTGTCGGATTGCCAAGTATCAACTTCACTTTCACTAAAGCCACCTCGAAACCAAGTCTATACTGTTTTTGGCGTATAGAACTCTATAAAGAGCACTGAACATTTAAGATACTAAGCTTGTCTATTGTTGACAATTTCATACAAGTTCTAATTTAAACTACCATTTTCTTTCTTCTGGCTTCTATCCCAAGATGGGGTCCTTTCAAAGACAACTGGATAAACGGAGAGGCTGGAAACTTTAAGAGCTGCTTTCCTACCGCATACTGCTCCCTTTCCTCCTGCCCATCTTTATGTTATCATAAAAGAAGCAGGTCTTGAGGGGAGGTAGCAATGTTACATCAGCTGTATAACCTACAGTACACGACAAATACTCTCCTCCTTTACTGAAATATGAACATTTTCTCCAGAATCTCCTGCACACTACCAATCCTTTTGACATCCACCCTGTAGGTTGCATACTAAAAGGTAAAAAAAAAAGTACACTTCAATAAATAACCTTTTGCAAAAATGTCTTATTGCTATAGTGATATTTCTAATCTTCCAAATTGGAACAAAACTTAAGGTTTCAGCTCCCTGTGGGGCAACACAGCCATTTCATGCGACTGTTTTTAATGTAGGTTTGGCAGTGGATTGAATGGCATCAAGAAACCTTGCCTGTAACTTAAAGGAGTGTAGCATGAGCTGAACAGGAAGCCTACCTTCCACTGGACAGGTTGGTCTTTCTTTACATTCTCTTAGTAAGAGTTATTTCAAAATTTAAGGCTAGTAATTAGTAAGACACGTGTGTGTATGTGTGTGTGTGTGTGTGTGTGTGTGTGTGTGTGTGTGTCTTGTAGGAAAATTCAACACTTCACTTTTTTACCTGTCCCAAACAGATGCTACACATGGCAACTGAAATATTCCTACAAACTGTGCAGGACAGAGACTTCCCTGAATTTATCGTCACCTACCTGAAACTAGACCATGCTTGTCTGGCCTCTTACAATCATAGCCTTCGTCTCACAGCCCTAACAGCAGCACACCGTGGAGTACAAACACCCCTGAAAGACAAAGGCCTCATAAAACCCACAGAAAAGCTATTCACTAACACTGGGACTACTTTTAGCCATGCTAGTAGAGTTCACGCTTTATTTTTGTGCATCGTAAATACAGAAAAATGTTGAAAACGTAGGACTCAACTATCTAATTAAAGCTGAGTAAACTAACCTGGTCAGATCTTAATTTTTAAATGAGAAATGACAAGAGTAGTAAATATAAAGAAAAACAAAAATAACTTTACTTTCCTATGTTAATACAGGTCAAGGGACCCTTTCTTCTGAAAAGGGTTGTTAACACCAGTTCTCAGCAATAAACATAAGGCACTTGTTTAGAATACAACATCACTGCATTTTTTTCCCACTTGTTTTTCTAACCCTGTTTCCCCCCACAGTATCATTTGGAATTAATAGAGTGAATGAGGCAAATGTGGGATGATCCAGTCGATACTACTCAGAGCAAGACAGTACAGTACAATGTTTCGGGGGTGCTGTCTGGACATAAAACGAACCCTGTCAAGGTCCTCTGACACCAGACAATGTATCCACTATCAAGTAAACCTGAAAGAAAATAAAATATTTATTCAATAGTTCCAGTAAAATTGGGTCGGAGTACAATATACATGTTAGGAATTTTAGCTCCTCACGGGTGGAATCTGCATCAAGAGTTCTGAGTATTTACGAATTTTCATTCTAAGACAGTCTACATCAGTTGAACATTGTCAAGACAAATATATGAACTTCATTTCAATATACAGTAGAGTTGAAACAGAATTCACACATAAACACCCCCTATCGTATGGCTGGTGCCTCCTCCCAACACCTCAGTAGTGGCAGAGGTAGCACTAGTGTTCTTTCCCAACAATGAGAACTTCGGTTGCCACTCATAGGAGAAGTTGAAAAAAAGTTTGTGGTGGTGGTGGGGTTTTTTTTGTTTGTTGTTTGCCATCTGTGAAGATGTTCCTGAGACAGGGCCAGTTAATAAAACGGAACAAAGCACTGGAGTTCGGCTTGTACTTCTCTTTACATCACTAAATCGTTAGACCGGGACGCAGAATGCAGGCCACGTACTATGAAAGGTTGAGTTTAGCACAACTGTTCAATCAGTAGAAGCATCAGGTCTCCTGAAAATTCCCTTTAGAATATATGCCCTAGAAACTAAAAGTACCACAAAAAGATCAATCATATATACAATTGATTCATTTTACTTAATCTTATCTGCTCAGATCTTGCAAACGCAACGAGGATATTGAGCCTGAGGCCAGTTCTCAGTATACAGGTTTATCATCGTAAGGCTCAGTCTCTCCATCAAAATCGCAGTTCTCAGTTTCCTTTCAAATTAGGAAGTTAGGAATTACATTCATAGTACCTGCCACCATCCTCGCCCTCAAGGAAAGGTTCATGCAGGAGCAGCACTACACCTGCATTACGGAGTCCCCTGACACCGGCACTCAGCCCGCAGCGAACACAACCATCTGCGCTCATTTTACAGCACGTTACATTGCCTCTGGCTTGCACCTCTGTTTCCACCTGTGTATTTTCACAGAAGCCCAACACAGATTAGTTGAAATATTCACACAACTGTTTTTCAAAACAATTTATTGCATCATATTTGGTACCTTATGTTTGACAACAAAAAGGAAATTACATCTGTAACTGCAGGAAAAAGAAGCTGGTCTGTTATTGAAAAAAAAAAATCTTGGGCCCTTTAAAAATTACAAAGTCTTGGGCTTGCCTGAAACAACTGAGCAAGAAATATATTCTTAGAAATGTAGGGCTTCAAGTATTACAAACCTGTGACACTGTGGAAAAATTCCAGAGGTATCTAAACTGCAGCACTTTTTTTCTGCATATCGTGAACAAGGCCTGCTGAGGTTTTTAACTATTAGTCTCTTGATCAGTCATAGAATGGTAGTCAGGAGTTCTGCTCTTTAACTTCAAGCCATGGTAGATTTTCTTTTTTCACTCTTGGGTGAAAAAATTCATGCGTGCTAATTAGTTGGTGCCACATCACAGTGCATTTGGTTCTTGCATTACAGTTTTAACAAGTTTGGCCAAAACAATGCTGAAAGGTTTGCATTGCTATTTTAGTTCTTCAAGTTTTAGTTAAAATTGAGATTGTTCCAACTGGTTCCTTCAGTTAAAAACTGTGGTACAAGAACACCAAACTGATCATGTACAGTGAATTTTGGAAACACAACAAGCATATTGAACACCCTCTAGGTTTCTTAGAAATTCTGCTTGGTATCTATATGTCCCAGCTTCTACAACATCAAGCATCTGTTGTAGGTTTCTCTGTAAATAGTGATTCACATTGCATACTTCCTATGGTCAGAATCAACCCCGTAACAAAATCAGTCAGATGCTAAAGCCCCAACAACTCTTTGTGCTCAGTGAAAGAATCCAGTGCTAAAACAGCATTTATGCTGTCTGAGATATAGTAAAATCTCACAAGACAAATTTTAAAGTAATATTTCTGCCACACACCTGCTTTGTTAGCTGTAACAGCCTCCAGATTTTATATAAATTAGTTAAAAAACATGGGTGGGTAGGTAGGAATAGAATAAGGTATCTTTTTTTTTAATCCCTCAATTTTAGCAGCTTTTAATTTTTTAAGAAACTGAACCTATATCCTGTAATACGTTAGATATTTTATATATACTTTTTCAGCAGGATAAAAAACGTAAAACACTATTTGAAGGCAAGAACATTTACTCTTCTCATTCTGTGTAAGTTAGAGCAATGCAGCAGGTGCGTGACAAAAATATTATACACTAGATATGGTCCAAAGTCATTCCATTTGCTTGTTTAATGATGTTCAGATTTCATTGGCCAGTTCTTCAGTTTCTGCAGAACTATCTCCATTAACTGTGATCTTCATATCCTCTTCATATCCAGGAGGCATGAAAGCCAAAGCATAAGGGAAAAGCTTATGACAATTTGCTCTATAAACTTCAGCAGCTTCTTTACAGTCTCCTAGGCTACCATCACACAAGGCTTCTAATACCTCCATACATGTCTAAAGAAAGAGAAAAGGTAATATTATAACTTGTCCAAAAACAAAGTTTTTTACTGTGAATTTATTAGACATTTCATTATCAACACATTTTCTAAGCAAAAGGCAAATGTACATATTGAAGACACAGAAAGCATTCTATCCCCGCATATTCAATCCCTAAGAAATAGTTTCTTCAGAATCGTAGGGCTTATACAAAGGATGAATTTATAAACAGGGCCAGGACTAATGTGGGGCAAGCAAGATATGCAGCGGCTACATTTAAAGACACACTCACTCTCAGCAAGTGCTTGACCCCAGGTGGCAACTTTGCCTCAACCCAGGCAGGCTCTGTGTATAAATGTCAACTTTTCCACGCTAATGTCAGGTATTGAACTTAAGCTCTTTAGTTTTTTTTTTTTTTTTTCTTTAAGAGGCTTAGAGACAGCTGGTGGTATCAAACATTGCTTTTTAGCTCTGTATTAATTAAAGGTTTGTCCACTGAGAGGAAAGGGAGGGTCTCAAACCAAAGGGCATATATGCAAGAAAAATCTGTTCATGAAAATTGGTAACTGTTTGAACCAAACCCCTTGGTAGATATTCTTAGATTTTAAAATGATGCATGTTAATTTACATTCCTCATGTTTTCTTTATCTTTTCACTTGGAAAACATGTAGTTTGCAGATATATAGTATCCAACAAACTTTGCCAGTCTAGAAATTTTATAATCTAAATGATGTATTAATTAGCAATCAATAAGTCAAATGTTTCTTTCTTAAAAGTGTTCCTTCATTTGCTATTAAAGGACTATATCAAATGCTTTATCTGGCCAATTATCATAGGAAGTAGCGCTATGTCCTTTGTTTTTAGGCTAAACTAAAATCAGTATCTTGCAAAACATATCCATGTATCTTTTATATTTCAAGGTACATTACAAGCTATAAAATGAGTGTTTTGATTTGATCCCTGGTATGTACATCTTAAATATGTCAGAATCTTCACTGAGACTACTGCTTGGTCAGAAATGTAAAGACAGGAATGAACCAAAATCTAAAATTAACTATGGAATATATATATATATATATATAAAATTTTACTAAAACAGATTCCTAGAAGAAGTATTTTAAATAAAGATGTGGAACTAGTTCTTGAAGGCCAAGTAGCCTACTGTGCTTGTGCACACACAGACAATCCTAAATAAATTTAAGATAGGGTTAGTTTCTGATGCGGATTCATAATGGCTTGGTGAATAATATGCATAATTAACAAAAAAACAATTATTTGGTAAACGTATTCTCTTTGTGAAAAGAGAAACAGAAAGTGGTGAGGTATTCTTCAGAGAGATTATGAAAAACTTTACCTGGAGGTTTCTGTTAGTGAGGGATTCATCAAGTGTTGTTGCCAACTCTATAGCTCGCTTCTGACTAGAAGGATCTAAATAATATACCATTTTGGCAGCTAAATGAGAAGGAAAAAAGAAAATTTTTTTTATTTTAAAGTACAACCAGCATCTTATCCTCTATTCATTCAAATATCAAATATAACATATATGTGCACACAGAGTGTGGCACTTTATTAGAAAAGTGGGAAAAGCCATTTGAAATAAACCAAAAAAATCATGAGAGGATAGATAAGAAATAGCTTAACTGTCTAAACTAGGAGAATGATTAAGGTAAAAAACTATGAAGAAATACAAATATTCTAATGATAGTTGTTTTTGTGTAGTGGGACATGGATTTTTCCTCTTTCTAAACTGAACAGGGGTGCCTAGGTGGCTCAGTTGTTTGAGTGTCCCACTTTTTTTTTTTTTTTTTTTTTTTTTTTTTTTTTTTTGAGAGAGAGACAGAGCAATAATGTGGGAGAGGCAGAGAGATAGGGAGCCTGAAGCAGGCTCCAGGCTCTGAGCTGTCAGCACAGAGTCTGACATGGGGCTCGAACCCACAGACAGCGAGATCATGACCTGAGCCAAAGTTGGACACTTAAGTGACTGAGCCACCCAGGTGCCCCAAGTGTCCCACTTTTGATTTCGGCTCAGGTCATGATCCCAGAGTTGTGGGATTGAGCCTTGTGTTGGGCTCTGCACTAAGCCTGGAGACTCAGGATTCTCTTGCTCTCTCTCCCTCTGCCCCTCTCCTCACTTGCACTCTCTCGAAACAAACAAACAAACCCCATAATGTGGGGCTGTGGGGAATACTCCATTTAATGTGTGTAGGAGTGGGGGGTCTGGGGGGTTGGGGGTGTGGGAACATGGGAGGAGAGAGATACTCAAACTTGATGGCATGAGCCAAAAATCTGAATTCAGAATTCTACAAAGGCATACAAAGCTGCTGGCCTTCTTAGCCAGGTATTCTAAAAGCATCCTACTAAAGCACTACCCATACGATCCCATCAAGTCCAGATTTTGGACTGCTAGCACAGACCTTTGCCTATGAAATGATTTTAGGTGTTTTGCACTGTTCAATTTAATATCTTACAAGCATGAAAAATAGAAGCTGATGGTCACATCCAAGTGAATCTTAAGAGCATGTTGAAGGAGGAGAAAGAAAAAACAAAGAAAGCCCCTCCTTCCTTATATGTAATATGTAGTTAAATGAAGTTATATTGCTTCTTTGTAAAAAGCCTATGCTGAACCAGAAGAAACTACTGACCTTGATCCACAGTAATAATTTTAAGAAATTTAAAAATTTATAGGAAGCATATTTAAGCTGCCTGTGTTCTTACGATTAAAATGTGACATACACACAATGCCTCTTCCATGTGAGAAATGTGTAACCTTGTCATGAATCCATTAAAATAAAAACTAAAATTATTTTAGAAGGCTAAGATAAAAAGAAAATGAAGTGATTACCTGATAATCTGTGTGGCAATGAATCAGAATTCCTTTTCAGAAAAGTTTCATTAAAATTCTTTGGATTTGTTGCTCCAAAAAGACGATTCATTTCTTGTTTTAATACTGTCCTAACTGTATCAGGTAAATCTTTACTTTCACACACTGCTGAACAAATTAAAAATAAAATTCTATTAGCAGTCAGATACTCTGATATGATTTGCAGAAGTAAAGAAATTACTTGATGAGGCCAATGAAACAAAGCAATTACATGTAAAGATTAAATGAACCTACTTATAATTCAACATGTAAAGAGCTTACCATATAAATGTAAAAAAATGTGTATCAGGAAAATAATTTTTCTAACAGCATTCAAAGACAAATTTCACTGATAAATGATTCATTTCCAGAAAAACAAAACAAAACAAAACAAAATGCAAAACAAATAACAAAAGATGTAGTTCCATAGTCTTCTAAGCTCTTAGGGGCTGGCCCCCTCAACTTTAAAACAAATTTATAAAGTAGGGCTCTGATGGCACCCACCTGATAAATAATGTCACAGCAATTATGCAGTGCGGAAGACAAGAGGATTTTCTTCACCTTCTCCATATTCTATACCCAAGTAAGGCATTACAAAATTTATTAATTTTAAAAGAAAACATGACGACTTCATTGACCTTTATTTGCAAGGGCTACATAAATTTAGTTATCACTATATAATAAATTCCAAAGGACCACCAAAGTATTTTCCTATAATGAATACACTCTGATAATCATATTCCCAGGCCTTGGGATTCAGAGATGGAAAAGCTGAACCCCTAACCTCTCTGACTGAATGTTAGTATGCTTTTTTTCATTACTATTTTGGTATAGACAGACAGTTTGAAGCTTTGAGCCAGAAAGACCTGGGTATGGATCTAGGCTTGAACAAGTCACAACCTCTCTGAACTTATTTCTTGATCCGTAAAACTGAGGAGCTATCTAACCTAAAAGGATCACAGTAAGGAAAAGTTACATTTTTAAAAAAAAATTGTTTTAACGTTTATTTATTATTGAGAGACAGACAGACACAGAGCGTGAGCAGGGGAGGGGCAGACACAGAATCCGAAGCAGGCTCCAGGCTCTCAGCTGTCAGCACAGAGCACGACGCGGGGCTAGAACTCACAAATCGCAAGATCATGACCTGAGCCGAAGTCTGTCACCTAACCAACTGAGCCACCCAGGTGCCCCAGAAAAGTTACATTTTTTAAAGTTAATTATATAATAGCTAAATATATAATTCAATAAAGTGCAGTTATTATTTTTGTTATAGATTGAAAATATATTTTCCTCATGGTTAGGAACTATGGTCGTCGCTTAAAATGTGGACAACAACCATTTGTACTGCTGAATATGTATCCTATATACATAAATTACTATGTGAAGCAAAAGTTTCATGGAATACTAACCTTAATTTTGTGCCATGCATTCTGGTATTTTCTACTCTATTCTTTTTTTTTTTAAGAGTGAGAGAGAGAGAGCGTTGAGTGGGCGGGGGAAAGGGGCAGAGGGGGAGAGGGAGGGAGGGAGGGAAGGGGGGGAGAGAGAGAGAGAGAGAGAGAGAGAGAGAGAGAGAGAGAGAGAGAGAGAGAGAGAGAGAGAGAGAGAGAGAAAGAGAGGGAGGGAGGGAGGGAGAATCTCAGGCAGGCTGCACCCTCAGCGCAGAGCCCAACTGGGGGCTTGATCCCAAGACCCTGGGATCATGATCTGAGCTGAAATCAAAAGTCCAACACTCAACCAACTGAGCCACCCAGGTGCCCCTCTGCTCTATAGTATATTTCTATATTAGGTTTTCAAATGGTAGTAATGGCCCACTTATTGTCTAATGGATCACTACTACACCAAGTTTAAACATACTGAATTCTTGAGTGGTTAACATCTCTGAAATATTCTACACATAATTAGTAACTGAATAATTGATCGATGTGTCCTTTGTTAGTTAAATAGCATTTCTTCTATCATTCTATTGAATTGGGTGGTTCGAATAAATGAGTTATTAAGGAATTTTGCTTAATCTCCATTATGGCTGTACTTGTAACTTGATTTTGGCAACTTATCAACAGATTTCAAGGAGCGCGGGAGTGCAAACAAAGAAAAATTGGTAAAACAGATTATAGCCAATCACAATGACTATTATATCAAAAAAACACAGGTCTTCTAAAAAAATGTTATATCCATGGGCCTTACTGGTTTGAATGAAGTGCTTTCGGGACACTATATGCAGATGGGAAAGTAACTGTATAGTTACATTATAGTTGGTTGTAAGTGGACGCTATGCTTTTCATGTTTTTTATTACCTTCATTAATTTGTTTTCCTCAGATTAAAATAATCCCCCAGAAAAATCGAAACTGCTTTAAGAAAAAAAAAAAAAAAAGCCCACACAATTAAAAACAAATATATAATTCAGGATGTATAAAGAAGAAATATTTATATAACTCCGAACTTCCATTAATAGCTATTTCCAAAAACATTTCCTCCCCAAGTCACAAAATGTTTGAGGCTGATTGTTAGCTCCCCTACACTATGTAGATTGGCACTCTAATTTCCAGGAAGATACTAATTTAAAAAAAAAAAATTCAACTGCAGTAAGACTCAGAAAGTTGTATGAATTCTGTGTAATGCAATATTACCTACGTCTTTCAGGAAAGGGGCAACCTCATGCATCACAGGTCTACTACGTAAGCTTTTATTACTAAAGATTAGTAGGGGATGAACCAATCTAAAAGTCCTTTGAAAGTGACTAAAATGAACAAAAAAATATTGAGGTCTCAGGAAAATAAAACATCTGAGACTACTGAATTAGCTTCCTTGTTACCTTATGATACAACAGTAAGTCTTGTGAATCAAGGAAAAATAATAATTGAGGGAAGGGGAATAAAACTTTTTATGAGAGGCTTCTGAATCCTCTGACATCCTAAAATTAAAATAATGTTTGGTTCATGCTCTGAGCTTATTAGCAGACTGGATTAATCTAGTAATTGTCAATGGTTAAAAGTCACATTGAAAAAGGGGTAGATTCTTAGCCAAAAGAATTTCTCTGGGTTCCTATGCTAGCTCCCTGTTTTGTTAATAATTTGGGTAGAAAATGCTCATATTCTGTGCAAGATAATGACTACTCACTACTAGGCTCTAAAGCACAACCTACTAAGTGATTACCATTCAAAAGGGTAAACTAGGTTACATAAGAGGATCAACAAAGCTTTTAGGGGAGAAATACATAAGCACAGAAGAAAAATAATTTGCAGATAAAAGGAAGAAATGGGTTTGTACAAATGAGAGAAGAAAAGATGTAAGATTCACTGTAGATCAAGGTGACCAAACAGTGATTTTTTTTAAAAGTATGTAAGGGAATAATAAACAACTGAATCCCTAAACTCCTTTTACTTAGTACCAAGCAGAAATGTAGTTTAAATTGCTTTAAGTCCTACAACTTTAAGAAAAAGTGAAAAACTTGAAAAGGGCACATACCAGATCATCCTCATAATTAAAAAGGGGAGAGGAAGATTGACGTATATGGTAAATTAATTTAGGCAGCAGATACTAATTACACTGGTAGTATAACAACATTCTGAAGATTTGGAAGGGTATTCATAACCAGGCTAAAATGAATATTTACTTAGAGAAGTTTCTACAATAAAATAGGTGTCAAGGCACCGTTTTTTTCCCGTATTCCCCAAGAAGGTGTTGTAAGGGTTTCTTTGTAAAGAAGCAGTTAGTAAAATATAACTTGACATGACAAATGTGTTCTTGAAAAATTACTTCAAAGTTAAATCTTATTTTAAAACTACCAAAGCTATCAGTTTTATTAAAGGAAACTTGTGGGGTATATCAAAGATGCCCCTACTCTGGGTGTCTGTGGTTGCACAAATACTTTTACATACTACACAACTGTACCCAAATTCTTGAAGGCCTTTTAAAGACAGTGCATCTTTATCACTCCAAATTATCACTGCTTTAATGCCTAAATTTAGTCAAAATAAGGATTACTTTGTTACTCTTCCAGACAATGTCTAGAAGCTACGGATACAGCTCACAGCTAACTAAATAATTCTAACTCTTACATCAGGACCATTCTGCCTTTCTTTGTTCTTCTGAAGCATTTTTGTTCCTAATATAACTGTTCTAAGACAACAGTCATATGTTCATCAATCCACATACTTACTATAAGCAAATACATTTAAATATCCCACTTTTAATTCATATTTCAGAGGGAAGTCTCCAAATCCATAAGACTTCTATATATTATTTTACTACTACCTTTTAGGAAAGAGTTGATTATACAAGAACAAAGTGTTCATGTTAATTTTGAGAACAATTTAAGTGCACTCCATCCTAAGCAGGAATGGATTTAAGACCATTATTCCTGGCCTTAATTTTTGGACTCATGACTTCAAACAAATTTTAATATGAAAACACTAGAAAGAAATTTCTCTATTTTCTCTAAGAATAGCAATTCCTTCTTCTATTTTATGAGGTGGTTATGTTATTTTTTACTTTCAGAATTAAAAACACTAAAAAACAGTTCAGTGTCTATAACAGGAATCATTTTTTTTTGACAGGCATAAATATACTTTCAATAAGGATTTACTTTTTCTTAGAAGTCAAAACAAGGTTTGTTTGTGTTTTTATTTTTTTAATGTTTATTAATTTTTGAGAGGGAGAGAGACAGAGAACGAGCAGAGGAGGGGCAGAGAAAGAGGGAGAGACAGAATCCGAAGCAGGCTCCAGGCTCTGAGCTGTCAGCAGAGTCTGACGTGTGGCTCAAACCCACGGACCACAAGATTATGACCTGAGCCAAAGTTGGACTCTTAACTGACTGAGGCACCCAGGCACCCCCAAAACAACTTTCTTCATCGGGAGGACAATTAAATATTTTTCAAAAGACTGACTGGGGGGCGCCTGGGTGGTGCAGTCGGTTAAGCGTCCGACTTCAGCCAGGTCACGATCTCGCGGTCCGTGAGTTCGAGCCCCGCGTCGGGCTCTGGGCTGATGGCTCAGAGCCTGGAGCCTGTTTCTGATTCTGTGTCTCCCTCTCTCTCTGCCCCTCCCCCGTTCATGCTCTGTCTCTCTCTGTCCCCAAAAAATAAATAAACGTTAAAAAAAATTTAAAAAAAAAAAAAAAAAAGACTGACTGGGATGCCTGGTTTAATCTCATTATTTCCAGGTATGTATGGATTCATATGTGGCTGAGTATTTAGCAATGAGACAGGTAACTTAATAGAACTTAATAGTATTTGCAGACTGTTCTATTAAAAATTCAATTTCCCTTCTCTATTCACTTAAAAATCAAACCACCACCACCACTTGACTACAGGAGTACTTTACTCTAAATTTCAAGCTCTTGTGGTAGTAGAAAGAACAATATGAAAACCTGAGCTCTCATCCCTGCTTCATTACTAATTATTTATGTTACCTTGAATAAGTCATTTAATCTTTTAGGGTCCCATATTTCTCAACTATTATTAAAATGAAAAACAATTAGCATAACATTCTACCTTTTACTCTCTAAAATTCTATAGTTCTACTTTATGTTAGAAGTAGTATATGGATCTTATTGTGAAAATATCTGAAAAGTACAATGATTGTCTTAAAGTTCTTTTAAACCTGTATTTATTAACAAAAATTTTATGACAAAGAATTCTGAAGACAGATAAATAAGGAGACAGCTAGTCAATTTCAAAGAGATTCTTCAATTTTAGAACAATTTACTAAAAGCTTTACATAACGAATATGATTCACAATTTCAACTTACGTGTTAACTTTTTAAAAACAGAAACAAAGGTGATTCTCAAATATTTGGACTAAACAATTCTATTATCAAAATCAAGTAACATTTCTAGCCTTAAAATAAATACCTTCATCACAAAGAAAAGAACCCTGCTTTTCCCCTTAGCTAATTTAATACCCAACAGCTTTAAAATGATTAAGTTTATGACAAGCTTATATAGATCACTTATACAGTCACTATCAACTACTATAACCAAATACTTAAGTAATGGAAAACAAAAACATACCAGTACTAAAGAGTCGAATCATACACTCATGAAGCCAGGGATGACTAGAATCAATAGCAAATGCCCTCTTTACTGATTGTAGCATCAAAAGAAATTTTTCTATAAAAAGAAAAAGTAAAATATATTTTGATCATTTGATAAAATAAGATGCCCTCCTTTGGAAGATTAAGATCTTGCAAATAGAGAAACTAATTTAGAGACAATCACATTTGAACTGCAACGTAAGTGAAGCAAATGATTTCCTCAGATTAGCAACATTAGCTAATGATTTCCACACAATAATCTTTTAAGAAAAAGGTTTTATGAAGTACAAAAAAAATTAGATACATTCAATATTTGAACTAATGCCACAGGAACAAAATTTGAAGCCATTTCACTTCTTAACCTCCTTTAATCAGAATAAAGGGATCTTTTGCACTACTTATAAATCTTGATTGTTTATACTTGAATCTCCTTTCTTGGGTTTTGTGACATGTGAAATGGTTTCCCTCCTATCTGTCCTCTCCTATCAATCCTTGGCTCCTGTTTCTCCTCAAAAAGTACAGTATTTACCAAGGTTATTATTTTCAGTGATTTCTAAGCTCTCTCTATACTATACCCATACTCACACCCCCATGTTTCCCCAGCTTTAGTAGTGTTTCCACCTGTTCCATGGAAATTTCACCTGAATACTTACTGAACTTCCAAGTCTCATCTATAACTACCTCCTCTTTGTTACGACTTCCCTAATTTGGTACCGTTCTCCAAATAACAAAATTGAAACCTCCAGGCTCCTGACATTTTTCTCTTACCCAACACTCAAAAAGCTAAAAACACTGCCATACCCTTTACTACCCATTTCACACAACAATGAAATCCAACAGCTGAAGAGCCCTTCAGAGGTCTTTAGAACACAACCAAGAAGCCAACTGAATGGAATTTAGATTCCCCTTCCTCACTTCAAGCAGAACAACTTTTTTATACTTCGGTATTCCATTTAAGAATATTTGTTAAAAAGGAAGTTATAATTAACTGTTCTTTAAAAGTTTCTAAATTACTCGACTATTTACTAAAGTTTATTTTCTAAATTTTGGAAAACAGAATTATAACAAAACACTGTAATCACTCAATCCATCAAGAGACCTTCTGTTATTTTTTTTATCTATTTCTTCCTGGCCTTTTTTCTATATTACATATTCATGTAAATATCTTACTAAAAATTAAAATCAAACTACAGCTTTTTGTTCTATTTTCAAGCAATGCTATATGAGAACCTTTCCCCATTATTAATTACCTTTGATAAACAAGATTTTTAAATGGAAACTCTATAGGGGCACCATTTTCCATCTCTTTAAGTAGAACGTAAGTTACACTGCTTGGAACAACAACCTTCTTTCAGAGCTTATTAACCAAGTTCTGTTCCCTTCCCTTAATGATATACTTAGTTTTTTTTCAATGAACCACTTGGATTACAGCAATTCAATTCCACAAAATCAGTATCTATATGTAGTTGAGTCATTCTAAACAAGACAACCAAGACCCTTCATTTATTTTCTATCTGGTTTGGGCAATACAGAAACCTCTACATTATTTACACATACTTGTGTTTTCTTAAAGCATCCTCTTCCTTTCTATCCAGCTCTTCTTTTAGAAATGATTCATCCTTCAAGATACACCTTAAGTGCCACATCTTGTAACAATAGCTAATAAAAACCAACATTTATTCAATGCTTACTGTGTATCAGGCACTAATCTAAGCTTTATGTCATTAACTTTATTCACACAAGTACACGGCAATTACTACATATGACCTTAATCCTAGTTATGGATGTTCATCTATTGTTGATTTTAATGTCCTAGAAGAGATAATAGTATCATTATACCTCCCCACAACATCTTGCACATGTAGCACGCATTTCTGTGAGGAAGCTGCATTGGCAAAAAATCCTACACTGGTAAAGCTACTGGACTTGGGTGACTATATCTAAGAAATACAGTGATCAATTTTATCAGGGCCACTATCCCCTAATTGCCTACCTTTCCTAAAGTAAATCTCAAAGGCAAAAAGATGTGTTTCTATCTTGTTCTTCACCAAGTTCTTCAACGGTGTTAAAAATTTAATAGCTTCTTCCAATGGAGTTTCAACCTAACAAAAATAAAAGATATTATACAAATGGAAGCAAGATGGAGGGGTATGATGTTATTCTCTCCATTAAAAACACTTTCTGGTTTTTTATTGTTGTTGTTGTTTTGGTAAAAACCACTTACCCATTACCCAGAAATACTGTCATATTTTAACCTCCCACAGTCTAAAGGTAGGGGATTTTGAACTCTAGAACTCCTCGCTGGTTTTTAACCACAGATATTACATTATCTCTAAATAGAAACTATCCAACAAGTAAAGATAAAGATAAAACAGAACCAGGGAAAGAAAGACAGTGAGATAAACAAGTAAGGTAATTGGGGTGGGGTTGGGGGGATGGGAACCAAGGAGAGATGTTAAATAGGATGAAGAGGGGTAAGAATGAGAGGTGGAGAATATTACAGAATGAGTCAACGTTCTTTTTGAACTCAAACTGAAGTACAATCAAGTTATTAAAAAAAAAAGATTCCATCTTGCATTGTTCTAATAATATAAATTCTATAGAATTCATATTTATTCTAATGCCATGCTAATGGTGAGATGGCATGTGAAAATATTTATACTTATAGAACTCTGTCTCTACCACCCTTTAGTAATTATATAAATGTCATATTAATTACATACTTGTAATCATTACTGGGCAGGTATAATGTTTACTACATAATTGTGCTATTGTTACACTTCTAGACTGAGTATTTATCTTTTTTAAATTTTTTTTTTTCAACGTTTATTTATTTTTGGGACAGAGAGAGACAGAGCATGAACGGGGGAGGGGCAGAGAGAGAGGGAGACACAGAATCGGAAACAGGCTCCAGGCTCTGAGCCATCAGCCCAGAGCCTGACGCGGGGCTCGAACTCACGGACCGCGAGATCGTGACCTGGCTGAAGTCAGACGCTTAACCGACTGCGCCACCCAGGCGCCCCTAGACTATTTAGACAAGAGTCTTCTCTGTAGACTGAGGTGTGGGTGGGGAACAATACCACATTTATCAGAAAGGCACTGAATATCTGTGCCTGTTCGTCTTGTCTCATGACAGAGGCAGTGACAATTTATCCTTGATGGAATCTGGATTTGCCATACCTAACATGCCTCTTCTAATTTGGTAACTGTGTTTCACCAACACAGTTTCTGGCTAAGGAAACGATTTCACAGTATTAAAAAGGAAAAAAAAGTTGAACAAGAAATTGATGTCTATGAGATTTGCTGTATACTACTAGCATGTAAAGCAGCTGGCATTATTCTGAAAGATATGTGCTCTGAACAAGAAATCAATATATGGCACTGTCACTCTAATAGCTGTAGATACCAAGAGACAGAGGGGGAAAGAGGGGCCCTCAGAAGTATGCCTTTCTCACACATTTTTAATATTTTGCTTATCTTATTCCCATGATTCTATGTCCTATTGAGTTGGAATTTGTGATATACAGGGAAGAAATGTCTACCAAGGAAGGTAAAAAACTGGAAACTGAAATTGTAATGGAGCTGTATCAAGCCTAAAATGAAGACTGCTGTACTGATCAGGGTAATTTATCACCAGGGAGATATGGCTGCTGTTAACAAAATGGATACAAGGAATATAGGGCAGCTGAGTCATACAAACATTATACTTACTGAAATCAAGTTTTTGAACTTGGAAAAAGAAAAGGGAAATTCTGCCTGCATTTCTAGTAAGTGAGAATACATGCCTCCACAGGAGATCTGGATCTGAAATTTCTACATGTTTCCTTGTGCCTTACTTGCATAGGAAGATTTTGTTAGGCTAAATCTGAGTGCTTAAACATATGTCCATAACCACAATAAAGCTAACTACATTCTACATTCATACATACAAAATGAAGTATAGGGTTATATACACAAAAGCCTATCAACAGGGATGAATTCTAAAATCAGTGCTTAAGATCAGGAGAAAAAAAAAAATCAACAGAACTACCCTTGAAAATTCCTAAAGTTGTAAAGACATATATATATATATCATTAATTTGCACTGTATGTATGAAAACCATATATTAGGTACCAAAATCCTAATCCCTGTAGCAAAATGTTCTCACTAGGAGAAGATGCACACAGAAACTGACAGGGACTAAACAAATGGTAGTTATACTTCTATCATACTTAGTTAGGGTTCTATGTTCACTGAGTGGAATACTGGATGAAATTGCTAGAATTGTGCATACTCATTTGTTTCTCAAAAAAAAATTACATCCAGTACCTGCTCTGGCAGCACATATATTAAAAAAACTATAACGAGTCATGAAGATTTGAATTTACTTAAGTTAAAGAAATGTACACTGGGAATGCATTGTGTTGATGGGCAATATAAGAGATCTGTAAGGGTGGTTTGATCACATGCAATTTTTAAATTTATAAACTGATGTGAAGTCTAATCCACGTTACACTACGTTATATAGGAGTACGTCTCCCTATGCTCCCAGCATAGCAACAAAAAGCTTGAAACTATTATACCTTATACAGCCAGAATATTAAGGACACACTGATAAAGAACATGTGTGTATACAGAAGGAAAAAATAGTCCGGCTGAGGTAAGTACTGACTGAAGGTGAGGAGGGACACAAGATGGGTGGCACATGAGGGAACTCAAAAATAACAATTTATTGCCTCATGATACACTGGAGAAACTTCAGGTTTATACTCAGTTAACTAAATATTAAACTCACTAACTAAACCTTTTCCTATTTTCCTTTTTTCCTTACCTGGAATTACCGCTAACTTAACGATGCTTCTACTTCATATTATATATATAAAATCCTGAATGACACTAAATATACCACTTATCACATGAAGAATATAAAATATAGGATCACAAAAAATCACAATCTATAGACTGTAGATCCACACTTGGCAGGCAGCATTTAAAAGAGCCTACAATGCCATACCTTATTATGATGGCTTGGTATAATCTGGTGCTGCCACCACACTGGGGATATACGTAAGTGTGGATGCTATTAGAAGGGGGCATCCTGGCAGCAGTTATCCTAGGAAGAGAAGGGTGTTATGTGCCCAACAAGCAAGAGAAGTATATATTAAACAGCACCCCAGATCAGGGTGCCTTCCACTGGGCTCCTTCCAAATAAAGCACTTTCTGTAGGAATTATTTTCTTCTGAGACTCTACAACCCTATATAGGTATTAATAATTAGACTATAACTTGACATCTGGTCCAAAAGCAGCCATGATAAGCTAGACACAAGAAAAACTCAAGTCAAAAATAAAAGGAAAACCCAGTAAGGAGGCCTGGTATGCTAGCATAAGAATTCTGCTCTGTGGGATTACCCTTTATTAGACAAGGACTAAACAAGCCAGACTGATCCTCTCTTTAAAAAGTATAATGTGAGATATGAAGTGTTACAAAGAAAAAAGTCATTAAGGAAAGTCAAGGGAAAGAATGGTGCTGGCAGACAAGTTAGTGGTGGTAGTAATAAAGAAAGCTGAGGTATAAAGATGGAGCGCCCTTAAAGTTGATATTATCCCTGAATAACTGCAATTCTCCATGAGGCCTAAAAGGTCCATTTTCTGTGCTTCCTCCCTATTCTGCATATTTTTCCAATAAGCACCCAACAATAAAAAGTAGTATCTTTGTTCCTAAAATAGTTACACAATTATTTGTGAAAAGATGTCAATATATCCTTTGAAATCCAAGCCAGATTTCTCTATGGTTCTTAAATAGCAACACTGCTATGAGATATTACTGTCCATCTGCTCTGGTATAATCCTAAAACTATTTTCCAACTCTATTTACTAAGTATTATAATTTTTCTTCATTATAGAGCAGTTGATTTTGGTTTTTTAGTTACTAGCGAGGCTAATACTGAACTCTAGGGCAATGTGCTCACTATATTTACTGCTTTCACATAATAAATTATGCAATTATTTTCACATGGAGTAGGTGAATGTCAAGAGCCAGGAGTACACAGGTACGTTACTAATCAAAATGGTTTGTGTGACAGTGAATACCTTGGTTTCAGCTTAATGATTAAAAATGGCACATGTGGGGGCGCCTGGGTGGCGCAGTCGGTTAAGCGTCCGACTTCAGCCAGGTCACGATCTCGCGGTCCGTGGGTTCGAGCCCCGCGTCGGGCTCTGGGCTGATGGCTCAGAGCCTGGAGCCTGTTTCCGATTCTGTGTCTCCCTCTCTCTCTGCCCCTCCCCCGTTCATGCCCTGTCTCTCTCTGTCCCAAAAAATAAATAAACGTTGGAAAAAAAAAAAAAAATTTAAAAAATGTCACATGTGATTTTGGCCTGGGGGAAAATATTTAGGGACTTTAAAGACATTAGATTCGAAAAGCAAAATTAATAAATAAGGACTGTAAACTGACACATGGATGAGAAATATACATATACACTCACTTTTTAACAAGCTCAATTTGGTCTCTAGATATAAAAAGTTGCATGTTACCACTTGTAACAGATGCTACATTCTTTACACATATAGTTCCTTTCTTTAATCCTAACATCTCTGCCTAGTAGGGATTTTTACTAGTCCCATTTTATAGATGAGAAAATCATCAGAGAGGTTAGACAAAGTGTCCAAACACACAATGAAGTGTACATGCTGATACGTGGACCCAGATCAGAATGACTCAAAAGCCAAAACTTTCCACTATACCATACTAGATTACTCTGGATCATGATCATTACTACAAGTTTTAAATGTGAAGTATGATCAGAGAGAGAGAGAGAGAGAGAGAGAGAGAGAGAGAGAGAGAGGAGACTAAAAATTAAAAATTTTCACTCAATAATCAAATTGGTTGAATAAGACCATATTAAATGATAATAGCTGTCATGAAATTTCACTAAATTGTGCTAAACCCTTTATTAAGTACCTTGGCCAGTTTCTCAGGGATAAGTTCTTCTTTGGGACCTCCAATTTCTTCATCATCATCATCCTTTTTCTTTTTCTGATTTCTCTGCTGCTTTTCTTTTTCTGCATTTTTTTTCTCTTCTTCTATCTGGGCTTTCTTTTGAGCTCTTCTTTGTTTATTACGTAGCTTCTTTAGCTCTTTGTCAGACATGTTTGCTGTAGGCAATAAGTGTTAATTAATTAAAAGCATATAAATCAGGTTAGTAATGATCAATCACTAATTTAATATTCTCACTAAAACTCTCATAAAACATATTACATGTTAGGGGGGCCTGGGTGGCTCAGTCGGTTAAGCCTCTGACTTCAGCTCAGGTCATGATCTCACGGATCATGAGTTCGAGCCCTGTATCAGGCTCTGTGCTGACAGCTCAGAGCCTGGAGCTTGCTTCAGATTCTGAGTCCCTCTCTCTTTGCCCCTCCCCCACTCACACTCTGTCTCGCTCTCAAAAATAAATATTAAAAATTTTTAAAAAATATTAAATGTTATATGTGTTCATATGCCTATGTGTATCTAGCCCTTTAACAGTTCCACACACGTAGAGAATACTGTAACCTCTTTAAAAATTTTTTTTGAAAACAGGTGGAGACCTGGTGCTGCAACCATGGCAAAACATAAAAAAGTATACAAGTTCATCCAACAATATTAAACTAGTTGCAATTCTAGAAATGTTCATATTTCTATGGCTTTGGACTATGCTTTTTCTTAGTTATGCCCCTCTAAACTTGTCAGTTATTCATTCTCTACTCTGTGCTGCCACTATGACATATATTTTGCTTGTAACAATACTTTGTTTATACAGGTGTTTCTCTTTTAGACTGTGAACTCCTTGGTGGAAGAGACTTTGTCTTCCTCATAATCTTTGTATTCTCAGGGCCTAGCAGAATATACAGAAAACACTCAAGTATTTGTTGGTGGAACAATGAATAACTATAAGATAAACTAAAAATCTGACACTGAAAATTAACAATAGCTCTTGAGTATAAACTATGGATGTCTCAAAAGACCGCCTGGAAATCACTGATAAATATGTAATAATGAAGTAAAAACTCTATACTATTTAGTCTTCAAGCAGTAAATCTGAATGCTACATGTACAACTGGTATTTATTTGGTAATACTTGTTGATACCAAGAAATGAAAAAAGTCATTCTAAAATATACCACCACTGTGGTGACTTTAAAATATGCCCATAAATTGGAGCGCCTGGGTGGCTCAGTCGGTTAAGCGGCCGACTTTGGCTCAGGTCATGATCTTGCGGTCCGTAAGTTCGAGCCCCGTGTCAGGCTCTGTGCTGACAGCTCAGAGCCTGGAGCCTGTTTTGGATTCTGTGTCTCCCTCTCTCTGATCCTCCCCCGTTCATGCTCTGTCTCTCTCTGTCTCAAAAATTAATAAATGTTAAAAAAAAATTTTTTTAAATATGCCCATAAATTCTTTCCTTCAAAAGGCAGAACCTATTTCCCCGCTTCCCTTAATTGTGGGCTATACTTACTGACTCACTTCTAACACATGGAATGTGCTAGAAATCAAAGTATATGACATCCAAGATCAGAACATAAAAGCACTGTGGATTGCTCCTTGCTTTCTCTTGGACGACTCAGAAGAAACCAACTGCCATGTTGTGAAGATAGCCAAACAACTTTATGGAAAGACCCATGTGGCCAAAAAAAGGCTTCTGGGTATGAGATGAAGCCATCTTGGAAGCAGATTCTCCAACTCAAGCCAACCTCTCAGATGCCCTGGCTGTCTTGACTTCAACCTCCTGAAAGACCCCTACATCTTTCAAAATCATACAGCTAAGTGACTTCTGAATTCCTGAGCCACAGTAACTCTGATATAATAAATGTTTGTTATTTAAAGCTATGTGTAAGCAATAGCAGCAACAGATAACCAAGACAGATTTTGGTACCTGGAAGGGGGATGCTGCTGCAATAAAAACCTAAAATGTAGAACTGGTTTTGGTTCCAGAGAGTGGCAAAAGGTGGAAAGACTTGGAGAAAAGCATTAATGGAAGCTCAAAGCACCCTAGACTATTAACAGAGTCGATTTTGAAGAGGCTGCAAATCGATTTTGAAGAGACATGTTATAGTCATGTAGAGGCAGAAAGTTAAGTAACATTTATAAAATCTATCAAATGAACTGGGTGATCTAGTTAGGGGTATTTCCAGACCAAAAAAAAAAAAAAAAAAAAAAAAAAAAAAAAGGTAGTTAAGGGGGCATCTGATTCCTCTTTCAGCTTGTAATAAAAATGCAAGAAAAAGAAACAAATGGAAGAAGGATTTAACGGCTCTGAAAATTCTCAACCTCTCCAGAAATGGCTGCTGAGCAAAGATCAAATTCAGAGAACTGCCAAGAAAGCATGTCAACAGGAAAAGTTGAGTTTGGCTTTAAAATCTTTTAAGACTCAGGGGTGCCTAGGTGGCTCAGTTGGTTAAGCATCCAACTATTAATCTTGGTTCAGGTCCTATGTTGGGCTCCATGCTGGGTATGGAGCCTACTAAAGACAAGGAAGGGAGGGAGGGAGATTCCTTTAAGGCTTAGAACTCAGAAAGATGGTGCCTCAGTTACTAGTCACCCCAAAATTTTAAGGGTATGAGTCACAGATTCTCTCAAACAACAGAGCTTCTAAGAAACTTAAGGGTGGTGTCCTCTCAGTGCTCAAGGTAGACAAAGATATTTGTGCATGTGGATTCTAATAAGACTCACAAAAGATCCCTAAAAGTTTTAAGAGAATTAGATGGGTAGAAACAGCAAATCTGGACTGAAAGGAATGGAGATAGTATAAAATGAAAAGACCTCCCAAATTTTAGAAGCAGACTGAAAAACTACTAAGGTGCAAACAAATGTTAACTATCAATTAATTAATTAATTTTTAAAAAGTAATCTATACACCCAACGTGGGGCTTGAACCCATGACTCCAAGATCAAGAGTCACAAGCTTTTCCAACTGAGCCAACCAGGCATCCTGCAAATGCTATCTTTTAAGAACAAGAAAAGATGATACAGAAGGTGGAACCAAGAACCCAGAACATAGAACCAAGAGCCATAAGAGAATTATTCCTACACTGTGAGTCCTAATCCTGTACCCAACTGGACTTGAGAACTGCCATGAACCAGTCACTCTTGTGTACCTCTCATTCCTCCCTCATCACCCCTTTCTGAATAAGAATATCAACAGTGGGTACCCTATGCCTCTGCCATCAATTTATACTGAATATGTGGTTGATACAGGATTTCATATCAAGAACTATACTTGAAGAGCTATACTAACTATACTAAAGAACCATATTCAAGAACCCTTATCAGCACCTGCGCCTCATTTATATGTAACATTCTGGACTCTGAGCCAATGCTGTAATGGAATGAGACTTTTGAAGGCCTTGGGAGGGGCAAGTGTATTTTGCATTTAAGAATAATAGAAATAATTTGTGTCCTGATTATAGAACATGGCAGTTAAAAACATATCTACAAATTATTTCATTCTTCTCCCACTCAAATATAGTTTATACTCGGTAATTCACTGCTACCAATTAGAATGTGAAGGAAGTAATGGAATGTTGTGTCAAGAGAACAGAACATTAAAAATGTTGTGGCTTCTTCCTTGCTCTCTCATGGCGAGCTTGATGAACTCAAGAAATCTAGAGAGACTGACATATTATGGCCACCTGCCAAAAGCCATGCAAGTGAGCCATCTAGGAAATGAATCTTCTAGTCTTAGTTAAGCTTTCGGATGACTGTAGCCCCAGCCAACATCTCAACTACAACTTTATAAGAGACCCTAAGCTGGGCCCACCTAGAGGCTACTAAATTCCTAAACTATACAAATAATTATTTTAAGCTGCTAAATTCAGGAATATTATGTGGCAATAGATAACCACCATCAGAACAAATACAGACTTGTTTCTCTTTTCCCTAGTAAAGAAGCCCTTACTACTGAAAAAGAAAATTTCAAACAAGGATGAAAACTTACATTCTGGAAACAAAAGACTATAAATGAGTAGCCACAAAAATGCTGACCTTTTAATGACTGTACAATTGCTACCACTTGCATCCTTACTACACACTAGATACCATCCCTACGTTATTTTGTTTAATGTCCTTAATAATCTCATGGATTAGAGTTATTATTTTATGTATGAGAAAACTGAGGTTTCAGAGGAAAAACAATAACTCAAGTAATAATAAAAGGCACAGCAAGGATTTAAATCCACTTCACTCTCATTCCAAATTCTGGGCTGTTTCTTTCCATTATGCTATACTGGGGGTCAGCAATCATTTTCTATAATGAGCCAGATACTAAATATTTTCAGATCTCTGGTGCAACTAAACTCAGCTCTTGTAGCACAAAATTAGCCATAGATAATATATAAATGAACAGGCTCAGCTGTGTCCCAATAAAACTTCATTTATCAAATCAAACTGCAGTATGGATCTGCCCACTGGCTAGTTTGTGACCTTATTCTATATTATCTGCCACTGCCTTGAAAGGACTCATGTAGTTAATAATAATAGAGTTGCCATACAAAAATAGGAAAGGAATAACTACATAAGAAATTAATATAGAAATTAATTCAAATCCTATTTCACTTAATGTAGCACTAACTTATCTGGATAAGCACTGTCTAAATTTTGCAAGAATTACCTATGACTTATGTTAACATAAAAGAGGCTCAGAATTTCAGCTCAAGAGAAACCAGAGAAGAATTCTCCTATGCTAGAATATTGCACTATCTCTTAAATAAAACTGTGTGTAGGGGCACCTCGGTGGCTCAGTGAGTTAAGCATCATGGTCTGTGAGTTCGAGCCCCATGTCGGGCTCTGTGCTGATAGCTCGGAGCCTGGCGCCAGCTTCAGATTCTATGTTTCCCTTTCTCTTTGCCCCTCCCCTGCTCTCTGTCCCACTGCCTCTCTCTCTCAAAAATAAACATTAAAAAAAAACTATTTAAAAAATTGTGTGCACGTATGTGTGTGCACACATACACATGAATGCATAGCAAATAACATCTGAACCTAGAGTATCCAGCCAAATCAACATTCACACAAGAAAGCAAAATAAAAGAAATCTGGCCACATAAAGACTGTAGGTTTACTGAAAAGATAAAACATAAAAAGTGAAAAATAACTTCTCAACCAAATAAAGGGTAACTACCACATATTTG